TTCCATTCGGTGGTAATTGCCCAGGTTGATTGTGCATGCAGATTTAAAGCTATGTGGTAGTGAAATGCACATGTTGATGGCAAGCACTTGAGCAGTGCCCTTTGCCCTCTTGGTAATCCATCCTGTTCTAGCCTCCTGTGGGTACAGGGGACGTTTCTAACTTCAAGATCCATGTGAAATTTCAAGTTGTTTGAAGCGTGACAGCACTTGAGTTTCAGAAAATGACTGTAAGAGGCTAGTATGAGTGAAACTAATTTTTCTGGTTGCCTGAAGACCATTTCAGGCTGAGACTCAGGGGCAAATGGGACCTTAGCCTTTTAGCCCTTAGCTTGAATTAATCCTTAGTTAACACTGCTCAAGAGTAAGAGGTTCAGCAATTGCTGTCTATTACTAGCAAAGTATGATGGCGTTACCAAGAACTTTTTAACATAACAAGGTATAAGTTTGGATTAATTTCAATGACTGCTAAAGGATCTCTATGGGTTTCTCTGGGTCTGGATTAAAGGCACTTGAGACAGTATTTCATGTTCCGTGTAAGTTTGGATGAATTTCAATGACTGCTAAAGGATCTCCATGGGTTTCTCTGGGTCTGGATTGAAGGCACTTGAGACAGTATTTCATGTTCGGACTCGGGTGTTTATTATTTCTCATCAGTGAAACGGTCTCACTACTGTGAGTTTGGCAGCTTTTCATTAGCAAAGCACAAAATGGCTAACAATCTCTTGTTACAAGGTCTTTTAAGACTAAACTAGCCAATTAAGAACTGACACCTAGATTATTTTCCTTTTTAACCTAATAAATGATCCCAAAGAGCCCACAATGCAGACCTTTCTGCCCAATTACAAAATTCCACCCAAACCCATGAAGAAGAAGGAAGAAGAAGCATGAAGAAGAAACTCAGGACATCACCCTGTGCCTTCTATCTTGCTTCCATCCACAACATACTAAAAATCCCAAAACCTAAATTTCTCACCAAGTGATACACCTGCATTACTCTCTATAATCTATTTCACACTTGAAGTCTAGGAAACTTTGTCCATGAATGAGGGTCAAAGTCAGTGCTCCCCTGCGGGTCAGGAGACCCCAGAGCAGACAGAGAAATATTCCCAGTGCCCTGGGTTTCCATAGATCTCCGGTCTGGTTTAATGGAGAAAACAACAATTCCCAGTGTTGCCCTGTGTCAGTAATTTTTTCAGCAGTTTTAATGGGTACTTTAAAGACATGAATAATGTTCCTGGTAGGTTTCTGGACCCTGCCTGCATAATGTGGCATACTGTATTTGTAAATTTATGTTTGAGTTTGCTTTGTTGCTTAATGAGTTTGTGTACTGAGATTATTGTCATGGGTGACATTAATTCTTTGTAGTTTTGCCAACTCATAGATTCTGTATGTGTCTCTGTAGTACTGAAAGCTGATGTTGTCTTTTGGGCATTCAGTGACTGCATTTCTAAGTAATAAATAGTTACAAATATTAGCAACTTGGCGGATACATTTCTCAATTATATGGTCATTAACCTTCTGATCTTTGACATAAAATACATAGAAACGTTTTTATATTTCATTTTTGGCGAATTTATGTAGAATCATCATTGCTTGTTTAAGAAATATGATTAGTGGAGTCATATTGAACTTCTATAATGTCACTAATCTCACTTCTATTCAAACCTTATTGTCAGTACTTTAAATATTGTTATTCAGATAGGGACATCTGCCTTTTGCAAGTACTTTTTTTGCTAATACAGAAACTCTTAACACTTCAAGCAAGCCGTGAAAAACAAAAGGAATCAGATTTGACTGTTATGGTGGTTTAGATGTCATGCAGACTGCATAAGCTTTTTACGAGGGAGGGAGACAAGTGTGTAAAGTGCTTTTGCTGATAGGTAGAGAAGTCTTCCTTGTTTACTGGCTTGATGAAAAGTCAGTTTTGTTTTGATTGTTAAATTTCCAGCCAGTACCTTCTGTCTTTGTCCTGTCTAGCCAGTAAACTAATTAGTTTTTCTAGCTCAGTGTAGCACTAATAGCTTCCTTGAGACTTGGCAAAAATAGAGGGTACTGATACATAAAAATGAGAGAAGGAAGAATCCTTAACTTAGTTTTTTAAGGAGATTGGGGTGGATATTTGTCAGTAGCTTTGTTTTTTTAAGCTTTTAGTCTTAAGGTTCTTTGGAAAGCAGTCACTTTTGGATTTTGTACTTTTGGAGCTTTAGGATTCTGGCACTAATCCAATGCTCTGCTGATAAAAGCTCTTCAGGTCATATATATCAGTATGCAAACTGGATAACTTTTTTTTCTCCTGGTTCTGGCACTAAGCCAATGCTCTGCTGATAAAAGCTCTTGCCAGGTCATATATATCAGTATGCAAACTGGATAACTTTTTTTTCTCCTGCTTGCTTTAAAAATTTGTGTTAGTTTTCTTACACCCAACTCTGTTTCCTGTGGTGAAAATACTGTATCCCTGGAAAGATGTTTGGAGGACAGCAGTATAAGGTTGTGAGGAGCAATTTGTTTAGAGGTCTTCAGACAGTGCTGTACACAGTGGAGATCTTAAGATATCTGACTCCATTATGTCTAGCTAAAATTCCTGGGATATCAGGTGGATTGACATAACATGCTTGATTACAAAATGCAACGAATTCATAATTCATTTGTTGCAGATTTATCGCTGTTATGTTTGGAAACCACAGAAACTATTACAACTTTGAACAATAGATTTTCTTAAACATTGCCTGAGTGTTCAGAGAATAATCTGAGGGGTATAAATTTTTAATTTGAACTGCCTTAAATAAGATTACCTGGTTTCTGGCATGTTTTGTGGGAGGTGAGGAAGCGGGAATGAAGAACAGAAGTGAGTTAACTGCACATTACTACTGTTTAACTTTTTTGTCATCCAGAGCCTTCCTTGTTTGCCATATTTGCATGCCACAAGGCTTAATAGGGTTAATATGCTTAATCTTCTGACATAAGACTTTTAGTTGTTCATGATTTCTACTTCTTCTGATCCATAAGATGTGATGCTCATTTCTGGTGAATTTTGAGAACAGTAAACTATTCACCCAACATTTCTAATTACACTAATATGAGTATTAAACAAGTAAATCAAGTTAATGTTTGCTTTATTTCTGTTCAAGTAGGATGTCTCTAGATATGAAGATTCCTTATTTAAGTCTGCTGAAGCTCACTAGCTTAAAGTAGGTCTGAATTGTTTTGTTTTGTGTATCACCATAACAGTTTTCTCAAGTGAGTTAGAAGTGGTAATTGAAGTATAAATCTATCAGTGCCTGCTGTGGAATGCCTGTTCACATCTGTAGTGAAAGCTACAAGTCATTCTGAGTGCTGCCTGCAAGGAAAAAGGAAGCATGCTAAATCTTCACTTTCCCTCTGAAAGAGTTCCTGAGGAGGAGGCAGTCAGTCATCCTTTGTGCTGGACATTTAAGACTAAACCTTTGACTCTGTAGACTGGGATTCCCAAATGTGGGATTGTTTGATTACAGTCTGCTCCAGGGTTATCACTGTTACTCCCAACCCACTGGATGATGGGGTGACACCCTGCATCCAGGCAGCTCCTCATGCCAGGCAGGTGCCTGCCTGGTGGTGCTGACTGTGGCTCAGGGAAGTGCCTGTCAAGAGGCACTTGCTGCTAATCAGGAAACAAGGGTGTGGAAGTACTTTCTCAGATAAGTATCAGGAAATGCTGCTACAGTATACCTGGCAGGAGTTTGTTCCCAGTTTCTTGGAAATTCCTGCCTTGTTTTGCATTCAGTCAGGAAAAGCAATGTATTATAAACCCTGAAGTATACGCTAACCTGTGCCTGACCAGGCGTCTGTGCTGTATGCTGGAGTGAAGCAAATCTCAAACTCATTTTCTGCAATTGCTTTAAGTGTAATCAGCACTTTTGGAAGCAGGAAGAACCTTTTCCCTGTGAATACCTTTCTGAATTTTACCTTGTTTCACTGGGCCTGAATTTTGTAATGGGTGTATTCTGCAAGAGCCCAGTTTCTTGAGACTTGGCTGAACATTGTACTGAGGAGAGAAAATAGGAGACTGTGTTCCTTCTGTGGAAACATCTGCTGCATTTGGTGTTTTGGGCAAGTTAGGGCCTATAAGGAATTTGATCCCTTGCTCTTCCTCTTCTAAAGCTGCCTTCTTCAGTAAGGCTAGCACTAGCTTTATTCATCTTAGCTCTTTGTATTTCTTTCTATCACTTTTGGTGCTAGTTATTTGCTTCATTTGAATAATTGATTTGCACGTATAAAAGCCTTTATTACTCTTAAACCTATGCTGTCATTAGTACATTTTAAATGTAATAAACTATTCCATTCTTCTAGTGTCTGAGCAACATGAAATGGTGTGCAGGCTATTTACCCTACTTACTTGGATAATAACAAAAATGTGTTACAAGCATAAACTTTTATTTTCAGGTTGTATCATGAATCAGGCAGTATGTTTTCTGATTGTATTTTTTTTTTGGACATCTCCTTAGTTTTTATAGCACTAAGGTCACAGTGAAGTTTGGAAATCATTGCTGCAGATTATTTTAAGATCTACATATCCAAATGTAAACCACTCAAGAAGTATTTCTCTTGCTTTAGTTTCTGTATGCTGTACACCCATTGTTCAGTTATAGCTAAGAACACTTAGATGTTTTTAATAGACTGTGAGACAGTATGGACCAGTAACAGCAGGGAGTGGAGAAACAGGCACTGTTAATTGAGGTAATGAAATTCATAATCTATAGCCCAGTATTTCCTTAACAGTGGGAGATAAGATATGAGTTAAAGTTGCTTTCTCTTTCAGTTCAATAAATCACCACATCACTGTTTTCATAGGCGAATGCAGATGACCTACCTTTGGCTTCAGGCTAAATAGGGAAGAGAAATGTGGGAAAAATTAATTCATACAGGTTAAACTTCTGTAAGAAAAGCTTGCATGATGTTTCAGTTGTGTCTCATTTACCTCTCTGAAAAAAATGTTATTAATATTGACAATTTTGCCTTCACAGATAAATTTGAGCAGTTTTGGGCAATAAATCGAAAACTCATGGAGTATCCTCCAGAAGATAATGGATTTCGATACATCCCATTTAGAATTTATCAGGTAGGAGGACAATAAAATAAAATCAAACTCATATCCTGAGGTGTCAATATTGTAATCTGTTTTCAGAATTATATTTCCTTTTCTAGCATTATGGCAAAACTTTGCATGCTCATTTTTGCTGGACCCTTGAGTTGTATGCATTAGCAGACAAAGTAGACTGTGCTTATTCTAATAGTTAATTAACATTTATTATGTTGCAAGTGTGTAATACTTGTGAATGTGCTACAGCTGTTGTAAATTCTGTTCTTTTTTTAAAAAACAGTCCAACAGCCTAATTCTGGTTTTTAAAATAGCTACTAACTATGAAGAATGCTTTAGATACAAAATGCTCTGTGAAAGTTCTAAGTCAAACATTCTAGGAGCAACACTTTTCCTTCAACCACTGTATAGGCTTTTTTTCTTGTAGGCATTTTAAGGTGGAAGTAGTGGCATAGGTTTTGCATCTAGTTGTTACTTTTGTCTTCTAGCTGTCCCAAAACTAGCTTTTAATGTGGGGTTTTTCCTGTTTTAATACACCAGCACTTTATTTTTCTCAGTGTTTTGTTTGGAGACACATTCCTTGGAATCCTTACAACTTTTTCTTATCCTAAGGACATCTCCTTAGTTTTTATGAAGTTTGGAAACACATATTATACAAAAATTCGTGTAGCCTCTCTGTAAATGAAACTGTTGTGCTCTGTTGCAATGTTTAAATGTATTTATATTTAAGTTTTGCACCAATAGCTATGAAAATGAAGTCCTTTATTCATAGAACTGAATATTCTGATACCTCTGTAACAGCTTATAATGACCATAGAAGCCTGTACAGTCTTGCAGTGGGACTGGAGTAACTTTTAATATTAGATGTAAGACATTTACTGTCATAATGAAACCTTAGATTGAGAACGGAAGTCAGTTATTTTGTCAGTGATCACAGCAGATGGCAAGGTTTGTATTAGAATTAAAAAAGTATGTATCAGGAAATGTAGTAGTCACAGCATTTGTTTGGTTGGTGACTAAGTTATTTGCTTGTTCTCTGATAGGTGTGAGGTTTTTTAAAAGTCTTTTTATAGAAATCGCGTAAATGGGTTTGCAAAAAAGAGGTTTTGCTCTCTGAATTGGTTGCAGATCTTTAGGGCATGAGGGAAGATTTTTATGATACCACATGATTTCAAACTAATAAAGCTTTTTAAAAATCAATAAATCAATAACATCTATCACTTGAACCAGTAGTACTTATCTTGATTCCCATTACCTTTTGAATTGGAAACCCTTACTTGCTATAGTTTAAACCCAAAATATCTAACTAAAAATTGAAGACCAAACACAAATAAAGATGATACTGAGACAACCTTTGAGAAGGTTGATATGTATTATTTTCAGTAATGCTGCTCTTAGCATTTCGAAATATTTCCAGTCTTTTTAAAAATGTGGGCGCAGGTGTCTCTAGCTTTTTTATTTGGTTTGTTAGTGTGTGTACTGATTACTGCTCTATGTGTTTAAAGGAATTTTCAGAAAGCCTTAGGGTGAGATTATAATTTAATTCCAAACAAAGAGTTAGTGACAAACTTGCATATGGAAAAATAACTGATTCTAAAGTGTTTGTCAGATGTATTTAACCCCTACCCTGAATGCATTTAATTTCCATTAATGCTGGTAGGAGACTTCTTGGCATTCTAATTGGTTGCTGGTATATCTCAACAAAAACGCATGATTTAACCTGAGTTTATGTTGCTGTGGATATTTATTCCCTGTGTGTCTTCACACAGTGTTCTTGTAGGTACTTAAAGATACACAAGTGGATAGCAGGAAATGATGAGGCATTGCCTTCAATGGGAAGAGTTCCTCCTTGTATTCTCCATACCTTTTATTATGCCAAATTATTAGAAGGAAATTCTTTGAAGGGAACTTTTTTCTTTTTGGCAGTAGGAGGTGGATACATTTATTTTCCTTCAAAAAATTGTACTAGATTATGATACCAAGTAAGAAAAACCAGTCTTAGCTGCAATTAAATGTGAATTGGCAAAGTTGCTGAATGCAGAAAAAATGCATTCAGTAAAGTGATTTGATAGATCTTTTTCACTGAAGAATTCATTATTTTAAAAACTCAAAAACTCTTTCAGTTGTAAAGTTTGTCTACTAAAATACATTTCTAAAGAATAATATGAATCATACCTCGTATGGTGACCAAATCTGATGGAGTGTGTGGGAGAAAGAAATGGCAAAAATACGAACATCATACTTGGGTAAGTCAGATCTAAACTAACCACAGGTAATTTTAAAAACCCTTGTCCAGCACCTCTTTTAAGTATAGCAGCTAAGATTGGAGCAGAATCTTGGAATCTACAGTAGATAATGTAAAAAAAGGTTGAGAATCACTAAGGATCAAATCTTGGTGATTTTACTGCCAGCTGTCTGTCATATTCTGTTAACTGTGTCGTATGGAACTTGAACCAGATGAACCTTTGATATAGGTGGAAACTTTTTCTACCAGAGACAGTTTTAAAAATAGTGTTATATCTTTGTGATACTTTTAATTAAATGTGTCAAAAAGTAACTTCCCCACTTCATCACTTTAGAGGTGTAAGCTGCTTTGTCTTCAACTGACAGGTGCACAAAAGCTTTTTTGCCTTTTTATCTGATAGTATTATAGAATTGAGTGCTTTTTGCACTTGTTCTTTAATGGCAAGAAAGAAAATAATAGTAATGTTTTGAGTACATTTTTGAATTCGAGTGCTTTGAGTATATTTTGAATTCAAAGCATCAAGCTTTTCATGTCCAGTAATAGAGCTAGTTTGGCTTGTGGAATTTCCCCCCATGTTTATAAGACCAGCTGATGTTTCACAGTCTAATTGAACAATTGGCTGATAGATGGCAGGAAGTTTTCATCAGTCTTTGGCTCCAGGCACTGTGACGGGGCATATTAGTCAGGAGAGGAGTCTCTGCGTGCTGATAGAGACTGCTCTGATGAACTGCTGCCTGCTGTGGGAGCACTCTGAGTCTCAGCTGTTGTGCACTTAATTTGTACTCATTCCCCATTTTTGTTTCTTGCTCTCTCCCCATGTCATGCTCACCCACTTCATCATGCTTTTCTCTGTAGTCTGCCCTCTGAGTATATGTGGTTTAAAGCTGTATGTTGTATTTCATTTTTGAGATTAAGATTACAAGAGTATTGGAAAGGAAGTGGATGAAAACTCTTCATGCCGAGTTCTCTGGAGATTTTTTAGACTTGCAATTGCTTGAGGCAGGCAGGCTGTTTTGTGTTTGCCATGCCAAGAAGGGATGATCTACGATTCTTTGTGTTTTCCTTTATTTGGTACTGAATGAGCATTTCCTTTGCTTCCATTTTCTAAGGGTTTTGATTAGCTTAATAATTTTATTGCTTATACTTACATAGCAGGCCTTAACTTTGAATAGGTTTTCCTGTCATAATGAGATTAAGTTGTACAGTCACAAATTGTGAGGATGTTTATCTTCCTGTGTAACATGAGTGAAATTCTCCATACATAATAATATATTAAGTATGGAGAATACTTAATAATATATTAAGTATATAAAGTTAAATTCAACACTTCGCTCTTTATGTCAAAGCTGCTGTATTGAGATTTCTAAGTCAACATAAATGTTTACCATGACCTGTCCTCTAAAAGTGGGAGTGGGAAATAAAATATTTTCAGACATTATTAATATCTGTCTCAATAAGTGAATCAGAAGCTCAAGCATGGCCATTTCCAAGCAATTGAAGACTGTTTCATCCATATTTCCACATTAATTGGCAGAACTCAGATAAGCAATTGCAAAACCCATTGCAAGTATGCAAATCAACAGCACAATTTGGGCCATGTTATGACAACTATTAAAAAATGGATCAAAAGAGATTGTTTGGAAAGATACTGGGTCTACCTGTAGAGTTTTCAAGTAATAATGAATCTACCTTTTTATGCTAGTAGATTATTAAATTGGTTGTTGTTGAAAAGTCTCCATTGCATTTAAAGTCTGAATTTCTGACTTCAGTTTCCAGATTGTTTTGCCTTACCCCACTTTAAAGTCATGTGACTTTCTGATCTCCTGTATTCACTTAGGGACTGGTATCAGGAGCTTTCTTTGCTAGGCTGAATCAATTCAGCTTTTTAAGCCTCTTGTCATGAGACTTTCTTATCAGTACTGAAGTTGGTTTTTAGTCATCTTTTCAAATGCTGGCTGATAGTTTGATAATCCTCAAGATTAGTATTGAGGTTAGGGAGATATGAAGGGCAAAAGTAAAGTTAATTTTTATAGGATATTAAACCAAAAATGCTTCAAGCATTGGTGGAATACAGGTGGAATTAGCTACTGCTTGAAACTTCAGATCTGAAAAATGTTATGAAAGAAGTTGCAATGCAATGCAATCCTCGTCAAGGAAAATAACTGGAAAATATACTGTCGACCTGAAGAGGGCAACACAACACAGCAAGTTTCAGCATTTTGTTGGCTAGTGTAGAATGCTCTTAAATAGACCTGTGTGCAATGTCTTCGTTTTTTCTTATTTATTGAAAATGACGCTTTCATAAAGGACCTGCTGAAAATAGACAATTTGTTTCTTAAGAAACTTCCTTTTACCAGGAAGAAGTTTGAGTGAATAGGAAGACCATGTGAAATGCCATTTGTGTAACAGCTGGGCTTAGCTGAATTTCTGTGCTGAAGAGAAACAAATGGACTCTGAGTTATTCTAATAAGTGATGGTCCAGTACTAAAGAAACAGTAGCACACTTTGACCAGTTTTAAGTTACTTCACAATCAAAACTTCATGAATAAGAAGGTTTAAAAACTTTGCTAGGTTAATATTTTTCCTTGTGCCTCATGACTGGTGGGGAAGAGAAAGAAACACTTCTATTGAGTATTGCACAGGGGCAGTGTGATCCTTAAATACTTGTTTTCTGAACTGGGTTGTTTTGTTCCGTGCTGAAAGTAATAGCAATTTGACTAGTTCTCACCTTGAGCTGAAGGTCACTGTCACCACAGACCCACCAGCGGTTCCGTAA